TAAATACTGTCTATTTATGTCTCTGGCAGGGATGGGAAAGGTTGGCTAAATACTGTCTATTTATGTCTCTGGCAGGGATGGGAAAGGTTGGCTAAATACTGTCTATCTATGTCTCTGGCAGGGGAGGAGGTGAGAAAATGATGTCCATCCTGTCTCTAGCAGGGAGAAAAAAGACAAAAAATATTAATCAATATGGCACGACGTTGTGAGAATAACTTGTTGGATTGCCTGGAACGCTTGATTTACTAGTCGTTTGTTTTTTCGATTTTCGATGAAATTACCATGTCCGAGTTAGAATTAGTGTCATTACGATGGGCTCTCGATTACCTCCGTGTATACAGCTCATGTACATTAATTACATCTTTGCAAGTAAATTAAACTTTCATATTCAAACGAGTTCGAAACGAACAAATTCGTTTTCATTCGCTGCCGATATCTCGTACAATTCAGTGGGAAACTCGAGAGACCGCGGCGTAACCGCGTCTGAGCAGTGAGCATCCCTGTCGGGTTCTCAAGCAATCTCCATTACACAGCCTGCAAATGGACTCGATAAAATACAAATACATTTACATTTTAAGCGAATTCATCGGCGTCGGGAGTAGAGGCGATGGCGTAACGCGCATTCAACCAGCTGATGGTTTATTAATAATTTCGCGGAGTATATACTAAGTAAGCGAGTAATCACCTTGCTAATACCTGAGCGTGTTAGCGCGCTCTCGCGTTACTCTCTTCTGCAGTGATAATCCGAATATGGACTGCAGACAAATTATAAACGGAGAGCATTTAGTAAAACGTCGGATCCATTACGCTGCCGGGCCTGTTAACAATCCAGGCGTGCATATCTGTGCTGCAACTACTGCTGCTGCTACTGCTACTGCTGCTACTGTTACTGTTGCTACTGTTACTGCTACTGCTATTGCTATACTGCTGCAGCTACTGCTGCTGCTGCTGCTGCTACTGCTACTGCTGCTGCTACTGCTACTGCTGCTACTGTTACTGCTACTGCTATTGCTATACTGCTGCAGCTACTGCTGCTGCTGCTGCTGTTGCTGTTGCTGCTGCTGCTGCTGCTGCTGCTGCTGCTG